TTTCAACATATTTCTGGATATACCTTAAAAAGGATATAATTAAGTTTCTCATGCCATAAATTCACTGTACACATTTTCTCTTCATTAATGACTAGTTTTTCGTTTTCTTTTTTTTAAGTTTCCGACCGAAAATTTATTTATTTTTTTTTTATTTTTATATTCAGGGTTGGTATCCATAAGTCTGTTTCTGGGTATCTGGCACAGGACTGTAGCTTAGAATTGATGGGAATTCAGAAACCGTTCTAGCAAAAAGACCATCAAAAAGCTAGTTTTAAGCAAGCTATAAGCAAATCTGAAGAGATTCAGGTCCTTGCTACAAGCTACTAGCTTTTTAATTTTCTGGATACTTAGGATTGTGATATCCTGAGCAGTAACGATGGTCAACTGTGGTTTAGCTGTATTTAACTGTCTTTATAGCTTGTCATCAGCTTGTCATTGATGTCAAGATGTCTAAATTGCATTTGTAGATAATTAGTTTCAGAGTAGAACATTATTGATATTTTATCTTGTTATTTATTAGACTCAAGGTAGCCTGATGACAACTTTAACGGAATAATCCAAAGAAAATGTCATCAGTCAACTACAAGTCTAGTTATTAACTAGACATCATATCAAATGTTTCAGCCGAACTGATTATAAAAACGGATGATTAGTGATAAAGTAAAATCACAGCGCTACCTCAGCAATTCAGACAACACAACCAACTAAATCACATTCCCTGTCTGTCCTACTGAATCCTTCTGAGTTACAGGGGCGTAGCCAGGAATTTGAAGAGGAAGGACAAAAAAATTTTTGTATGGAAACCCTAGCAAAATAAAGAAATTTCTGTTTACGTTGGGGGATTTATCCTCCAAATCCCCCCCTCCCCCCCCCCCCCCCCTGGTTACGCGTCTGCTGAGCTACAATCATCCTGATTCAAGCCACAACACAGACATCAACCCTGCTTAAGTTATTTAATTTTCTGTTTCTTTTTGGGGGGCTAATGAAAAAAGACCATAATTAGTCATAGAAGTATAAAATTATTAAATATATAAAAGTTCATGAGTAGTTATTCCGACTGCAGAAGCCCTTCATTTCCATTTTTATATTTTTATTTCCATTTCATCTAAATTTAAAAAAAAACACACAAAAAAACTTTTAGTCTACTTCTTCACTGTGTCCACTTTTTATTATTTTTCTTCTTAACACCACGGAGAGTTTTTTTTTATAGAAGCACAATCTATATCTATATCTATATCAATGCTATTAATATTATTGTTTTTATCCTCAATTCTTTCATCATTCAAGATCAATTTTGAGTTTATTTTCGTTGTTGTACGAGGGGTGGTCAACTTTTATGATGATTATGGGTTAGGATTGGAACTGATAATATTTATTTTTCGAAAGTTTCATTAGTGATTGTTACTTGCACTTGGTTACTGGTGGAAGTTTTGGAATTTTTCAGCGAATTATTTAATTTTCTTGGATCAAGATAGCATTCTGGTTATTGGAAGTGAATTTTTCAAGGGAATTTCCTTGTTATATCTTTTGGAATCAAGGTATAGACTACAGAAGTGAATAGGTTGCTTATCTTTAGAGTATAACTAAGGCTATGCATACATTGGTAAACCTAATACTAGATTGTAGTTTACTAGGTTCTTAACAAAAGGTAGATAAACCTTATAAGCTTATTCGTGGTTTCTTAGGGGGGCTAGTTGGAGGTTAGGGGTCGTTCACTTATGAGGTTCGAAATTAACGGTCATTTTTCAAAAAAACAATGTATTTCTAGGAATTTCTATTGTTTTTTTTTTCTTGCTGACCCCCCTCCCCATGGACGTCATTAGTGAATGGCCCCTTAGCTATTCTTAGAGGGTTATCTATGCTTCAACTAACACCAGGGCACTCTTAGAAGATACCCTTTTGATTACTAATGGAAATCTAATTACGAAAGGTGAACCCTAAGTATGTACTACCCCTAGTGTACCCTAAGATAAAGCATGCAACCAAAAAGATAAAAAAATGTTGGCATCAGCAGCTTTAATGAGCACATACTGTTGTTGATGAGTTGCTGTCATTACCAATCAAATCTAAATTGGCAAAACTTTCACACATTCCAACTCAGTTCCACTAAATTTTCATGAATCATCCAAAAATTAAAAGTTACCATCCCTTTATTTTAATTTCTGTTGGTCTCATTTTTCAAAATTAACAAATTGATTCTACGAGATACAAAGAAGAACAAAAAATACATTTCCATACTCCAACAAAATATTGCTCAAATCTATACGAATCACCACACACATATATAACCTAATTTGAACAGAACTGATTTATGGTTTCGAATGAGAGTTTAACAGCATACTAATTGCAAGACTTCTCATTAAATTCATGTTGGTTATTCAACATAAACAACATTTTTTTAATTATTTTTGGTTTTTCGTTCAAAACAAAGCGAAATTGAAATTATTTTAATTGTTGTTAATTGAATTTCACAAACTTATTATTTTTTTGAATGGAATGAATTTTGAGTCAGCAATTGAGAGAATTTTAATCTTTTTAAGTTTCTAGTGACTGAAATTTTGGAATGAAAATTAAAATTTGGTAAATTTGAAATATGAAAAAGTTAAAATCATTTTTCTGGAGTTTTGAAATGGGTGGGTTGTGGCTTTAATGCTTAGATATGATCCTAGGAACACTCTTAAGACTTAGTAATCTTGTTTATAGTCTAAGTAAAGACTTTCTAGGACAAATTCGTAGTTTGAAGGTAGTGTAAGCCTTACTAGTGTGAAGCTAGTTGTTGACTTACTAGTATAGAGCTAGTACAAGCCCTAGTAGCAGGGTTGTAGCCAGGTTCTTCCTTTTTGGAAAAAAATTCAATTTACTAGGGTTTTTTGAGAAAGTTTCTGGCTACGACCCTGAATAGAAGTGTAGTCAAAACCTTACAAAATCCAGCTCTTAGAAAACAACTTATAAAAGTCTTGATTTTTAATATAATTAATTTCAATATTTTTTCTAAAGCTACTATCCAAAGCCTTTTAAACTAAATTCAGAATTTAATCGTCTACCTTAAAGAATATCCAATTAAATAAAGCAATAGAATTCTAGAGTCGTATTAATACATCAGCTCTCTCATAAATTCTGGATAGCACAACCTTAAATAATAGTTTCCATAATATGAAATGAACATTAATTTAAATAAAACATAGAAAATGTCAAAAACATATTTTATGCTTGAAAAATTCCCAACATTTATTCAAACATAAAGCCCCACAATATTTATGCAATGACATTTCCCAGAAATTTTTTAAATAAAAAGAAAAAATTTCAAAACCAGAAAAATGATTTTTTTTTGTTTAACAAAATTTTTCATTTGAGAATGCAAAAAAAAATATTTTAGATCCTTTTGGATTTTTATTTTATTTCATCATCATCTGAACCTTTTTATTTTCTGTCTGTGTGAAAATTGAGGATTTTATTTTTCATATAAAATAAATTATAAAGCCAAAAAAATAACACACAAATACACTCACAAACCTCACAACACGTCAGCAAAGTATATAAAAAAAATCTCTGTGAAAATGTAAGAAAGCAAGACCGGCGATAGTTAAAGAAATAAAAATCCTATCGAAATGCAAACATGATGAAAATGCAGAACCGCAATTCACAATTCTTCTACCTCGTTTTATTTTATTTAATTTTTCTCCCATCACTGTGTGAATTTTCCACTTTAAATTGAAATAGCTTCACAATGTTTACACACACTGTTGGAAATGAGTTGTGCAATGGTCATAATAATCAGTCATGAGATGATTTATAGAGGATGTGGAGAATTTATAGGAAATTTTTCATTTCCAGATATACAATTGGTTATTAATTGGCGAATAAAAATGTTAATATTGGAAGCAGCCCGAGCAGCATGGTAGTGTGATTGGGGTTTTATAGGACTAGAGGTTAAACTGTCTAGCTTTTAATGTAGAAGATTTTTATATTAAATTAGTGACAATGCATTTGAATCATAGCGATAAAATCTTATTTGTGGCAGTTTTATAGAATCAAATGAACTAAGGGTGGATCAATATGGACAATTAAGACCAACCTGAATAATTCTTTCAATTCTTTTCCCTTGCTAAATTCAAAAATTCGTAAATTAGTTTCATAATAGGATACAAAACCCAAAAAATCCCACAAAAAAGTCAAGCTAACCTCCATTTTTTAAATCCCTTAAAATTCATGTCTAACCGACAAGATAACAATTCATGGATTAGCTTTTATTCCATTTTACTCATTCAAAATAAAAAGAAGATTATTAAATTTAGGAATTATCATGATTAAAGCTCCCAAAATCGACTGTCATAAAGAATTTTTTTATTATCATACAAAATAAATAAAGCCAAAAGTTACGATGACAATAATTTTTGTCATAAATGAAGTTATGTGCCATGAAAGCTAATCTGAAATCTAAAATTATGGAAGTTTTGGTAGAAAATAATGGGTTAGTGAATTCATGTGGGGTCCACAAAAAATCAAAGATCACACTGCTGCAAATTGCTGGTTTTATTATTGCATCGAAAAATTGTGTCGTCAGTCCGAATAAATTAAAAATTAGTAACTTATCGCCACTCGAGAGATGCTTAAACATCTAGAAAAACCCACGAAATCTCTATAAATCATAATGACTATTGTGTGTGCATCAGAAATATTGTAAAACTATTCATTTGAAGCACAGCTAGAAATTTTCAATAACAATCCCTAAATTTAAACTTCATCCCTTTCAAATTCTCTCAATTCTCTTGATAGAAAGCCCTTGAATTGCTATAAACTCTCAATTCTTGTACAAGAACTAAAATATCTTTTTACATAACCTCAAATATCTCTAATCGACTCAGAATCGAGTCATAAAGTCTAAATAATGAATAAGAACAATTCATCTCAATGATCAATATGTTTAATCTCATGTTTCAATCCAAATAAAACTCAATGTCTGACTGTCTCCCTATGTTTTGAAACTTTTCCAATTACAGGTTATTGCGGTGATATCAATCCTCTTCATTGTTCTATCGACAATTGCCTTGACATTAAACACCATACCGTCCTTTCAACCTAAAGATCACAATCATAATGGTGTTGCGGCGGGAGATAATCCCGATCTTGCGATGGTCGAGGCTGTTTGTATAACATGGTTTACATTAGAGTACATATTGCGCTTTAGTGCGTCACCCGATAAATGGAAATTTTTTAAAGGTGGACTGAATATAATAGATTTATTGGCAATACTTCCATATTTTATATCATTATTCCTATTGGAAACCAACAAGAATGCTACGGATCAGTTTCAAGATGTGCGCAGGGTAGTGCAAGGTAAAACTACTAAATTAAACCTTTCATTATTAAATATTCCAATTGACTTGGATCAATTATAATAATAATATAGTAAAGTAATCAACTTTATGAAACTGTGCTAGTAAAATAAGATGAAACATTGAAAATTAGACTGTGGTAATATGAAATTCTCTCAAATTTTATTGATTAAGTTTAAGCTGAAGTTTCACAAAATAATTGCTCATTGGTAGTGATTATAAATCATAGTTCAGGAAGTAAGAGTGCAAAGTCGCATGCATTGTGCGAATCCTTGACATATCTGAACACTCTATATAATGGATTGAGAGATCGGTCTCTGGTGAGATTCGAACCCACGTTCTCATAATATCATTTGATGCCCTAGATTCTACTCTGCTTAGACACCACAGAGAGCAATCGTGAATTCATAATTGTTTTTGTAACAAGAATGTTGGCTTCAATCTATAAAGTTTATCCTATTTAATGTATGTAACTAGATCGTGTGTTTAGAGCTTACTTAAGCTTGCCAGATGATGTTCTCTGTTCTTAGAGATAATCCGTGACGTGGTTCTTATTGAATCGTGTTTTTAACTCTTTTAAGTAGCCACCAGTATGTGTTTGAAATTGAGAGAAAATTATTAAGCAATTAACATTTCCAATTTCTTTTTATAATTCAGGCACTTGATTTCATAGATCTGATTACTTTTAAAACTTATTTATATGCAAGAATGGTTATTTAGTAATGGTTTTACTCTTTAAATGCCTTTAAACAATCAAGTATTTAGAATCGCGAGGATACTCCGAATTTTAAAACTGGCCCGACACTCAACGGGCCTGCAGTCGCTAGGCTTTACGCTTAGAAATTCCTACAAAGAACTTGGTTTGCTAATGTTGTTCTTGGCAATGGGCGTTCTTATATTTTCCTCACTCGCATATTTTGCTGAGAAGGATGAGCCCGGAACCAAGTTTAGTTCGATACCTGAAACATTTTGGTGGGCCGGCATTACGATGACAACTGTTGGGGTGGGTAGACTTTATTATTATAATATTATTATTTTTCTATGTTCCTTTTATCATTTTATACAGCACAGATGAAGAAAAATGTTCATTTGTGCTGTGCTGTCTTTTGTTATATTTTTGTACATAACGCGAATGCTATGTATAAAGATTGTACAAATAAAAAACTAACCTCTGCTTATTGCGCATATATAAAAAAAAATCTAAAAACTTATAATTTTATCATATAAAGTATGGCGATATCTGTCCTACAACTCCGCTCGGGAAAGTAATTGGATCAGTATGTTGTATTTGCGGCGTATTGGTAATCGCATTGCCCATTCCTATCATTGTTAATAATTTCGCTGAATTTTATAAGAATCAAATGCGTCGTGATAAAGCACTCAAACGACGCGAGGCGTTGGATCGTGCTAAGCGTGAAGGAAGCATTGTATCGTTCCATCATATCAATTTGCGTGACGCTTTCGCAAAAAGCATGGATCTTATTGATGTGATTGTTGATACAGGTAAGACATCTAAGCTTATTACTATTATTCTTATTACACATACAATATACCTCAATATTTATACATCTCTAAAATAAATTTCTGTCTCTATAAAAATAAAATGACAACAAAACTTCCCATTAATGAAACTAAACTTTTTGAAATGCTTTATATGACATATAATAAAACTGTTGTGTTGTTGCTGGTGTAAAAAACAGATTTGCATGCATTAACAATTGTTTTTATTGTTCCGTACTTTAATGCTACTTACTAAACGATATTCATTTTTTTATATAAAAGTATCATTGTTGCTGTTGATTTAGTGAGGAAAAAGGAAAAGAGAACATATTGTTCAACTACGATTTGTTTATGTTTTCAACTCTTTCATTTTCTCGCTGTTCTTTCTCTTCGCTTTTCCTCATCATCTTTTCATACTTTCCTTCCTACATTATTTTAACCGCAAGGTGTATACACTCTACAATGAGAATCATACTTCACAATTTCACTGAACAAAATTTTGAGATGAAAAGATTTTGCGTGAATTTTTTATTGAACGCACTTATGATGCGAAAAGTTTCTGCTTCAATTTCATACTGAACGTAATTTGGATGTTACAAATTTCTGCATCATTTTTTTAATGGGCGCACTTAAGATGCGAAAAGTTTTTCCGTCAATTTTTTACTGGATGCACTTTTGATACGAATTTCTGCGTCAATTTTTTTACTGAACGCACTTTTGATACGAAAAGTTTTTGCATCAATTTTTTACTGGACGCATTTAAGATGCGAAAAGTTTCTGCGTCAAGTTTTACTGGACACACTTATGATGCGAAAAGTTTTTGCATCTTTTTTCACTGAACCAACTTATGGTCCAAAAAGTTTCTGTATCAATGTTTTTTTACTGAAAGCACTAATGATGCGAAAGTTTCTGCATCGATTTGTTTACTGAACGCACTTATGATGCGAAAAGTTTTTGTTTCTTTTTTTGACTAAACATATTTTTGATGCGAAAATATTTTACGTCAATTTTTTACTAAATGATCACTTATTGCAGAACTATTCAATTTCAAAGAGTTGTTTTTCTAATCAGCAAAATGAAAGTTGTTCAATTTTCAATAAGTAATCATTTTTACTTCCTCCGCAGTCTCCAAAAACCAGCATCCAACTCATCTCCTTAGTGTATACACCTTGTCATCTTTCTCTGCATAATTCACACTTTAACCCACTTTTATTATTTATTGCTGTAATGAAAAATGCCAAATATATATCAGCAATAAATAAATGGAAGTAAAACAACAACAAGAAGACTTCGATGAAATATTTTTTGAATGAAATAAAAGTGTGAGTGACAAAAAGAAGTGTTAAGGAAAAACATTCCCGGGTGGACACAGCCAGTTAAAGTCCATTATTGGACAATCATTTAACAGTCTTTTGACTTGCCCAAATTTATACGACATAAAGAACTAGACGTTTACTAGACTTTAACTGGACATTCATGCTAATCAATCAAGTGTTCGAAACTCAAAAATAATTTTTCTTACTTTTTTGACCATATACTTCACAAGCGCTTACAGAAATCACTTATATAAGGTCCACCAAAATTTGTATGAAACTTTTAAGTAAATATAATTGTTTCACGCGCAAGTGTTCGAGACTCAATTTTTACTAGAGATTTTTCATAAGTGATAGTGTACTTTAATTAATTAATTACACTAATACAATAATAATATTTTACATAAGCAAAAATATGGAGAAAAAGACACGTGTTATTTATTTAATTTCGATTTTTTTGTAACTGGACATTAACTAGACATATTTGCAATTCCTACGTCCAGTTAAATGGAAAGCGCAAAATATGTCATTAGTCGTCCCTAAGTCTAGTTGCAAAGGCTCGTCAATGGATACTTACTCGCCATGAACAGGCAAGTCAATTGCAAGCTTTTAACTAGTACTTTGTCCACTCGGGATTTCGTTATCTCTTCTACAAAAAACACTTTATTATCATATTTTTTCATGCAAGTGGTGAAAATTTATTCTAAAATAGTGAAAACTTTGAGGTTAAAAACGAAATATTGTGTAAACAAGGCAGCAATGGATGAATTTTATTAAATTATCAACTTCACAATTTCATGTCATTCTCACATCAGCACTTTCCATTTGTAATTATGGAAAATTAAAATAATTTACATACAAAAAGCTACAAATTGCTAGTTAAAAGCTACGGTTGCTAGTCATGATACACGGTAATGGTCTTGGTTTTATTAACAGTCTGAAACGCTTGTACTTCTTGATTCTTCCGGCATTTCTGAGATAAACTTTTGGATGTCACGAGATATAATTTCATTCAAACTTTACTTTTATATGGACTGAACTATATTAGACTGCTTACATAAGTTCCTGAATATCAATTGGTTTATCTCATAATTGCAACGATGAATACTGACTTCAATGGCGTCTACCATTTTAATGAAGTCCTTAACCAAATGAGAACTATATTAAAATATTTGATATCCTAAAATCATAAAAGATAAAATTTCAATAATGCACTGAACCTTTTTCTTCTACAAAATCGATTGAGTGCTTCATCATGTTGAGTTATTTGCTCTAATCCTTTGTTAATATCTGATTATGCAGCAATGAGAACTATCATAGATATTTTAAAGAATCTTTGTGTCATGAAGCATAAAAGTTGATGGCATTTCAGTTTATTGTGGCATTAAAACTGATGCAAATTAGATGCTGTTGTTCTAGGAGCTGATTTTTATTAATTTTGCATAAACAAAACACAATTAGGCGTAAAAACGTTGACTGTGCATTAAAATTGAAGCAGTTGATTGACTTCAAAGCGTAAGCTTAGTAAATGACTGCCTTTTAAATTAATTTGATTGCCCAAAATTTTCCAGAGTTGGAATCTTGGTTCTGACTGTGCTAAGCATTTTAGGAAACGTGGATGTTCTCAGTGGGTTAGGCAAAAATATTCAATGACGTGGTTCGAGGCTCCCTATTCATTACTAAGAAGCCTTGAATTCCTCTGCTGTCAAGAATACGAAAATTTCATGACTTTATCAAAGCAATATCAACTCTGAAACTTTCCCACAAATCCCCATGACTATATCCAAAAATCAATAAAATATCCAACTCGATAAAGGTTACAAATCATTATGTAAATTGCAGTAAATACCAATGCAGAAAAAAATGCAATCCCATTAAAAAGCCACTGCAAAAAAACTTATCATCCATAATAAATCAAAGTGCCCACATTGACCTCACATACATGTCCATATTTATAGGCTCTTAAATTTATATTCATTGAAAATGCACGCAAAAAAGGCGTTAAAACTTTTTTCACTTTGAACATAAAGTTGAGATACATGCGAAGGTTCTTGGCATTCCATTTTTAAAAACATAGTGAAAAAAATGCTAACAATAGCACATACTTCATTAGCTTAAACATGCTTAAATGTTTATTCATTTATTTATTTACTTAAAAATGTGAGTCAATGTTTCTATTATGTTCCGCATGCGATCAACATGACAGAGAAGAAGTACACGCAATTCAGTGTAAATTATTGCTTTAAGCAATTTTTTGTATGCTTCCTGCTTTGCTTTAAATTAACATTCGTTATGGAACATAAAAAATAGACACTTCCTTGATGATTTCCATCTTTCAAGGCGCTTTTCCTAGTTTTAAACTTTACACTCAAAAGCGGAGACATAAATCTCATACACATAGGCTTCTTTTATTAATGCATTGTGAATAAGGGGAGAAATATGGAAAAAGCAGGCGAGGCGTGTTATGCATAACGACTGTAGAATAAAGCGGTAAAATAGTAATGAATGAGGATTTACATAGTAACAGGTACAATTTGTATTAAAAGTGGGAATTTATGATCAAAGAATGGGCTGGTTATTCATGTTTGGGGGTTAAGTATATTAACTGATCGAAAATTGGGAACTGACCGAAAATTGATAACTGACCTGAAAATGGAAACTGATCGAAAATTGGCTACTGATCGAAGATTGACAACTGACCGAAAATTGGACACTAGCCGAAAATGGAAACTGACCGAAAATTGGTAGCTAGCCGAAAATGTTAATAGGAACTCATTAGAATTCAACAAAACTGGTTTGATCTTGTCAGAAGTAAGGAACAGCCAAAATAACACAAACTTTCTAACTGGCCGAAAGTTTTGAAAAAAACTGATCGAAATGTTACAAAGTGGCCGAAAATGATAAAACTGTCAAAAATTATTTAATTTGCTAAAATGACTTTGCTGATTCAATTTTAACTTTTTGACCTATTTTAAATGAATTGACTTAATTTTGAATACTGACCGAAATTTCTTAAAACCAATGTTTTCTCAAAGTATTATGGAACCAGATGAACATTTAAAAAAAATATGAAAGAACTTATGCATATAGATAGCATAAAAAAACAGGGAAACATTTAAGCACCAGCTTCACATACTTTCACAAAAGAAGAACAAAAAACGCGAAAAAAAGAATAAAATTAAGCCTTTCTGCTCGTTTTCCATTCGTGACCATTTCTCACTACGAAAATGCCTTGCTTGTAATTACAAAAATTAGATATTTTAGTTTTCCTCTCATGTGACTGGTTCCTTTGCTGAATAAAAAAAAGGGTCATGCTAAAAAGATTACGACAATTAGGCGAAAAGTAATGTGTTCGGATGTAACGAATGGCTATTATTTTAATTATGAAGGAGACTGTAAGAATCTGTGGGTTGTGTTTATGACATTTTGTGGATGTAAATGGGTCAAATTTGTTAAAATCCAGAACTTTTTTTGCGAGGCAGACCGAAAGAAAGTTTATCAAGTCAACCCACAGAAAAAATTTATATCCACAGATATTTTTTTTGATAAAAATTAAAGTCCTGACCTTCCTCATGAAATACAATTAACCCACATATAGCAACACACCGAAAAAAAGGCACAAAATGTCCAATCCCTGAATCAGGAAATGAAAATATAAATTATGAAATGTAAGCGTGAATGCTTTAATTT